TTTGTGCTCTCCCTTCCATCACCCCAGTGTATTTAGGATGAAATTCAGTATAAAATCCGAGCCCTCAGCGGCGGTTCCTCGGGCTGTGCATGGGGCACAAAGCTCGCTGTGAAACCCCACACCACACACGTGGTATTTTTCATCGAATATATTATCTGGTGATGATGGTGCTGTGGAAAGAACGCTCTCACAGGCGAGCTGGCTGAGAGGGAGGAGCCTGAGGAGTTTTTTCCGTTTCCATTGCCGGGTGTAATCTGCAGGGGGAGGACTGATCCCGTGGGCAGATGTTGCTCTGCGAGATAAAACTTGGGAGTTCAGAGTCTTAGGAGTCTCCTAGAATGCAATATTTGGGAAAATGGGGGTTATAAAAGTGCAGATCTAAAACCAGAGTTATACAAATGCTCTCCCAGTCAGGAATTAATGAAATATGTTCAAAGAATTGTTATTTCTGATGTGTAACACCATTGCCATCTGCACAGAAGGAAATGAGGTTTAGAGGAGCAGTTTCCTGATGCATCAATCCGTTGCTACTCCAAAAATTCCACCCTAAACCCAAGAATGATTTATTATCCCWGAGTTGCTACCCTTGGCTTAACCCAGGGTGCAACTCACAGCTCTCAGGAGTGAGCARAGATCAGACTTATTGGGAAAGCAAGGATTGCAGCCAAAGCTAACACCGAGCTGTGACTTCCAGAGGAAATATTTGGAGGYATAATGAGAGGGATGGGAAACTAAACATGGAAATCATCACAGGGAAACGAAACCCTCAGACTTGGCCTGTGTGCTGATGGCCACAATCAAATTAAGGCAAATTGGAAAGGGGTCAGATGAGAGTGTKAAATGAAGGACATGAGCTCSGAGATAGAGGACAAGARTTGCAGCAAAGCAAGGAGTGGGAGMCTCATGCAAACTTTCATTTTCTCTRTTTTTATTTTGGATTTATACCAATGGATTAAGTTTAGTCTTTGCTTTGAGGTTAGAGACGGGAGCCACAGAGAGTTCCTCAGTTCCTTTCTTGGTCAGGGCCTGGGAGTTGCTCCATCCCTCGAGGATTTCGGGATGTGCAGTTTGCACCTGACCAGTTATGGACTGGGAGACAGGACTGGGCACAAAGTGTGAGGCTTCCAATTTATTTTATTACTCCAAACTACCTTATTAKTCCAAACTATTCTATAACTTGCTTATACAACCCTTTGGAGTCTATATGGAATTGCCTGCAGGCCTTCAACTCTTCATCCTACGGGTCCTTTCCCTCTCCAGCCTGCAGCATGCACACATTCCAATTTTGGGGTGCCACAAGCCAAGGAAGGGTGATCCTCCTCTTCTCCAGGGCTTWTTGCAAAGAAAAACAACAGAATGAGAGGAAATGGCCTCGAGGTGCACCAGGGGAGGTGAGATTAGACAGCAGGAAAAATATCTTTATGAAAAAGGGTGGTCCAGTGCAGTGGCAGAGTCACCATCCCTGGAAWTGTCRAAAAAAWATKTGGATGTGACATTTGAAGATATGATTTAATGGAGAAYGTGGAGGTGGTGCTGGTYGATGRTTGGACTTGATGATCTTASAGGYCTTTTCAAAACTTAACAATTCCACAATTCTGTGATGAAACAGATTTCATCCACAGCCCTGAACGAGCAGCCCTGGTCTGAGAAGGTGCCAAACATCAGATTGTCTAAAACTGCAGCTTTAACTCATGTCCTGTTACTCCACAGATCAGACAATCTGAATTTTGGGCTCTTTTATTTATCTCTTTCCCCCATGGCGTTTTGGAGGGGGATTTTTTTTCTACCTTTCACTCCGTATTTTAAAACGGAATGATGTAAAAACCGAAACATATCAAACCAATTAGGAATAGACCCCTGGTGGATCCCTGGGTTGGAATTCTGTGCCGGGTGTGATTCCCACATCCCAGAGCAGCTCCTGGGTGCAGGCTGGAGGAAAGGGAGGCTGCTTTCCCCTCCAGGAGGCTCTGGAGCAGGCAGGAATGAACATGGGAACTCCAGGAAAAGCCCAGCTTTRCCTCCAGGGCTGTGGAGTGGAGGAGTTTTGGTTGTRCAGGAAAATGGGAAACCTGTTCAGTCGGTTCCTTGGCTTTGGAACCAGCAGGACAATTGCCTCATTCATTTCCTGGGGTTAGATTATTAAAAAAAAAAAGTCTGTTTGTAGTGTTAACCTCATGATGGGGCACAGGAATGGGATGACTTGGAAATCCTTGGAGCTTCCAATGCAAACGGCTCCTGGCTGAGCTCCAGCTGCGACCTTGGTTTGATAATTAATTATGTAACAAAGTTCAGATATGAAGTTTGCTTTTCAAACAGCTCTCATTAGAAATAGAATAATTTTTTTTAGAAGGGTACTTTAGCCAAGGTATTGAAAAACTATTTGGCTCTTCGCTACCATTTAAAACCTTTCTGTCCTACAYTGGTGAATCTAATAAAATAACATAAAATGGAACGTGAAAATGGCCACTGCTAAGAGTGAATTTGGCTCAGTTTTGCCTCTCATTTGGGCCCAGGGAAAGTATTCCAGCAGAAGTCCAGAAGCTTCAGCATGATGGAAAGGAAAATCCTTGACTTTCGGGTAGCAAATGCTGCTTCAGCAATGGAAATACCAGGTACCAATTAGGGCAGCTTTGAAAAGTGTCCTTGGGGTTTGGATTGCTTTGGCCAAACCAGTATTCTCAGGAATATTGAATAAAAATACATATATATGCAGAAATAAAATTATATTGGACTCATAAATCACCTACATAACAAGCTGGTGCAGCTTTTGCACAGTAAGAATTATATTTCATTTATTAAAATTAAATAAGAGAGTTTTGCTGATGTTCCTCGGAGATTCTGGCGGGTGCTGGCAGTCCTGTCCTGCAGAAGGAGGATTTTGGGTCCCATCCTTGACAAAGTGGGATGAGGAATTGCTGCTGGGAGAAGTAAAAAAATCAACCACTAAAGCAGAGAGAAACTATATTTCAAGTGAATAGGATACAATTACAGTGAATATTACATTGTATTAATGCTTGGTAGTAAATAATCCCTGACATTAATGCTTGGATGAATTGTTAACTCCTGGAATTTACTGCCATGGGACACGAGCGACCCTGGTAGGACTTGGTTAACAATTTGTGGGGTTTGAAGTCTTTATGTCTCCACAGGCCAGGTTTATTTGAACATGATCAACGGCTGCACAGTTATAAAGAGTTAATTAATACAGAATTAATTTAGAGTGTGTGTGTTTTGTATGTGCCTGTGTTTGGCTGTTTGGGTTTGTTGATTGCTGGGCAGGAAAACTTCCAGGTGCTGCACAATGGAAATTTTGCTTTCACTCCCAAAATTTATTCCTTGCTTGAGCTTTCCTAATACAACCCAACCTTGTAGCTGCTGCTCCCAGAAGGGAAGGTGTAAGGAAAATAAGGACAGCTGTGGAATCACCATCACTGGAAGTGTTCAGATGGTGTGGATGTGGCATCGGGGGACATGGCTTTGTGGTGCTGGGTTAATGGTTGGATTGGGTGATCTTGGAAGTCTTTCCCAACTTCCTGATTTGGTGATTCCAGGATTTCAAAATGCTGTYCCATGGCACGTGAGGGTGGTTGTGCACTTTCCAAATGGCATCCACATGGCTTGTGACAAAGGCACAGTGATAGGACAAGGGGGCAATGACTTTAAACTGAACGAGATCAGGGTTAGATGGGATATTGGGCAGGAATTGTTCCCTGTAGGGTGGGCAGGCCCTGGCACTGCTGTGGTTCCCCTGGATCCCTGGAAGCATCCAAGGCCAGGCTGGACGGGGCTTGGAGCACCCTGGGACAGTGGAAGGTGACCCTGCCCATGGTACAGAGTGGAACAAGATAGATTTCCAGCTACTCCAACCTAAACCATTCTGACTCTTCCATTGTCTTTTCCCAAAGGGGATTTTTCTCCAGATATCTTGGCWTGTTGTCTTCCCCGTGTTGCTCTTGCAGGGAGCGCAGCTGTGTGTGCCGTTGGGTGGGTTCGGCTCTGCCGGCGTTCCTTTCATTCATTTGTTTTTATTTGTTTATTGCCCACGTCTGTTTCACTACAAACATTTCCTCAAGGCTCCTTGCTCGACACGAGGCCGTGCGGGGCGGTGCCGTGACCGGGGACGTTCGGCTTCGTGCTCGGGGGTTGTGAAAGGAGGCGTTGAACACTGATAAAATAAATAAAATAAAATAAATATTAAAAAAAGGGGAGGGAAAAGTTTTAAAAGAGTTCAAAAAACGTTTGAAAAAGTATAAAAGGAGGCAGAGCGGCGACTTTTTGGAACACGATGAGGGCCGACCCAGCCGTGTCCCCGCTCCTCCCGGGCCGTGTCCCCGCTCCCCCCGG